CCCCGGCCCCGCCCCGCCCCCGGCCCCGCCGCGTATTGTTCGGCACCGGGGGGAGCCGGCCGGGAGGTGCGCGCCGAGCGGGTCGCTATGGAGACGCGGGGGCGCAGCTGGGAGAGGGTGAGGGCGCGGCCCCCGCCCCCGCGGTCTACCCACCCGTCCTCCCCGGGGGGCGGGGCCAAGGGGCCGGGCCGGGAAAGGCGGGGCTGGGGTCCCGGTGCAGCCGCCACCGGTAGGGTGGTGGCCTCGCTCCTCAGGGGCCGGGCGCGACCCCACCCTGGCAGAACTGCCCAGCAGAGACCGCCGCCCCGGCCACCGCGCGGGTTGGACCAGGGAGCGGAAGACGGACGGGAGCCGAGGGTCCGAGGCGGGGGGCCGGGCGCCTGCCCCCCATTAAGGACAGCTGCGGTGCTGGCGGCTGTGACACCCTCACAGCAAAACGCCGGAGGCTACAGAGCTTTGCCCCGACAAAACTTCCCTGGACTTTGAAACCCAGTGGGCAACTAACCGGATTCGGGTCACACTTGGTTGCAAGCACCACTTTTAAACGAAAAGAAAACCAGCCCGGGTTGACATTGGGGATCTGGAGCGGGGACGGCGGAGGCAAGCTCGTCTCGGGTGCGTGCGACTGGCCCCGGCGTTCGCGGGCTCGCGGGCCGGTCCCGGAGCCTCGGGCTCCTCCCAAAGCGCAGCAGCTAGGGTGCGGGCCCTGGAGGTGGCGGGGGCGGGAATCACCTGGGGGGATTTAGAACTGTGCGGCAGCGCCCCCCGCGCCGCCTCGGCTTCCCCACCTCCGTCCCCCGTGGGGAACAGCCTGGGACAGGGGCCCTTAGAACAGATTCACCACACGGCTCCAGCCGGGAACCAAGGGTGGGGGAGGAGCGTTAGAACTAAACGACACCCCCACACATACCGCCTCCTGCGGGGCACAGCGGTGTGGGGGGCTTTGGATTGTGTGACACCCCTTTCTGCGGGGCTTTAGGACTGTGCCGCCCCGGGTGAGGTATGCAGTCGCACCACCACCACCCCCCCCCGACCCCCGTAGAGCTGTGGGTGCCAGACCCACTGGGGCCCCTGGGCCTCTCAGTCGTGGGGCGATGGGGGGGGCAAGGGCCGGGTCTCTCCTTCGCAGAAGGCCCCCTTGGCGGAGTAGAAGCGGTAGGGGTGGCAGACACTGCGCACTCGTCAGGGTCTTTTTGACGAAGAGGACTTCAATCCAGCCTCTGCGTTTTAGGAGCTGAGCTGAGCGCAGAGAGGTTCCGAGCCCGGGTCGCAGCAAATAAACTTCAATCGGTGTTGCTCTACGTTGCTACAAACAACTGAAACCAAATATGAACATTTTCTTCCCATTAACTATGATTTGAAGACATTATTATTGACCTAAAAGGCAGACTTGCTTTGGAACTTTTTAACCTGTGACTTTCCACTGGCAAGCCCTGTAGGGGGATGTGTGCCCGCAGAAGGGGAAAGTCCATCTCTTAAGTGGGACTGCCCAGGACCTCTCCACCTGCCATTCATCTTCCTGGGGGAGAATCAGAGGGCAGTGGTTGGAAGGCTAGGAAAGCAGGGGGACCCCACTGGAGCTTTCAGTGCAAAGCTCCCGGCAGGGGTGAAGGGAAAGCAGGGGGACTCCGGCCGGAAAACATTAGGAGCGCATATTTTGCAGTAGGACTTTAAATAGGGTGGGCTGGGTTTAAATAAACAAAAGCCGCTCTTGCACTGCCCTTGCTGGTTTTTGAAAATTCAAGTGCAGTGAACGAGTTTGGGTGTGGGCATGCGTTCCTGGAATAAGACACCTGCACGCTGCAAGGTAACCGCAGAGCCTGCCCTGCACCACTTCCTGGTCCCAGGGACCAGGAGGGGAACACAGGGACAGATCCTAACAGCATGTGCAGCAAAAGGCCCAGAGACAAATGATGGTTCCATTCCCATATCAGTCAGAAGCAGGCCCAAACCGACCACACTCTTTAATAATGCACACAAACAGGAAAGATTGAGAAAAGCGAGGTGATATGAGAGTGGTCCGGAGGGGGGCTGGGAGTGGGGGATGTCCACTTCTGGACCTGAGGGTTAGCGGAGTGTTGGCTTTGTGACATTACGTTGAATGCTACAACGCTGCTTCGTGCACTTTCCCACAGGCATGCACAATTTAAAGAGCAGGGGCTTTAAAAAGCAGGCGGCAGCTTATGACGAGACCGCAGGGCAGTCCAGTGGCTTCAGCAGAACAATAATCACAAATCTGAGATGGCTGGCGCCTTGCAGGGGTCAAGTTCCGATTCTGCCACCGAGGACTTGTGTGACCTTCACCAGGCCCTGACTCCTCATCCTAACTGGAGATGGCAGTCATCTGGTTTCATAGGTTGTTGGGGGATTAATGACATCATCTGCATAAGGAGGCAGGCACAGGCCTGGCTTAGGGGCAGACCTACTAGGGCTAAGTTTTACTGGTGTTGTGTCATTGTCACCAAGCACGAGATCATGCTTGCTTCATCACTGCCTCCACGGTGGTGGCTGAAATTGTAGGTACAAAGGCACATGCACGAGTCCGTGCTCATGGAATGGCAGCGGCTGTCGCTTTCATCCGATCTCCCAGGGGGCTGCCCACTGATCCTGTCCACCCAGGGTGATCACAGAAAGTGAACTAAGGCTTGGGGGGGCGGGCATGTGCCTGGGGCTTTAGGAAGGGGTGCAGCATGTGTGGTTGCCTGGCCAGCACCCTCTGAGGGTCTGTGTCCTGCTCACCTGCCCTTTCCCCTTGCGGGTGGCTCCACTCACGTCAGGAGGAAGGGCTTGAAGTTTAGCCATGGTGCCGTCCTCCTGAGAGTGGCTGGCCGGAAGAGGCCACACCACCATCGAATGCTGTCTTATGCGCCAGGAGCTGCTGCCGCCTCTGCCACTCCTCGGGCTCAGGGAATCGTAATTGATGTTTATATTTTGCACGCGTCCCTAAGGTGTTTCACGTAAAGTTGGTGCTTTTAAACATAAGGATAGAATTTTAAAAAGCATCCCTGGATTTTTAGTGTTGTACATGTTCTAAACAGCAGCTCGAGACACTTTTGCCAGGGGCTCAAACCAGAAAGAACCCCCATGAATTCTGGAATCTCTTCCTCACACAATAAATTCCTGGGCCAATCTTTAAAGAGTGAGGAGCTAAAAGGAACACCCCATCGGTGAAAGCCAGAAGCAAGTCCGGGCCGGGCCCTACGCTGCTGTTTTTTTTTTGGAATTCAGAGGGAAAAGTCTCTCAGGGAACAGAGTTCATCAGGCCCTGTCCCCTCTCTGGTACCCCTAACCTTTCAAGTGGGGTTTGACTTGTGGGAAATTACGAAAGGTAAAACATGGAACAATAACAGAACCTTGACTTAATTAGAACATTAGCAGAAGCAAGGAGATGAAGGGAATTTAGATTCTAATCGCACACTTTGTATGTACTAGCACTTCCCAGAAAGACCCAGATAACATTACAACAAAAAGAAACATGTTTTTGGAAGTTGCCAGGCCTTTCTAAATACAAATACGGGAGTTTCTTTCAGGCTCCCAGGCCTTTGGACGAGGGGTGTGGCTTCAGGGAGGCCCGGGATGGAGGCCCTTCCCAAGAGCTGGGCTCCATCAGCTGCTCCCTGAGAGGCTAGCACCTGTCAACTTGCACTGGCCCCTCTCCTGGATAGGCATCAGCTCCAGGAAGGTTCTGGAAGACTCTGGAAGCTGGCAGGGGCAGGGCCTGGAGTTTCCATCTGCAGACGGACAGGAAGCGCTGTGGACACTGGGCGACGGGCACGGGTCTCGTGTCCAGTGCTGTCATTTTGTTTCTGGGGAGCCTGGGGGTGATGGGAAACAAGAGGCTTCCACCCTTCTCTTGTCCCCAGGAGCACCCAGACGGTCCCCAGCAGGCCCACATGGGCCCAGCTCGGGCTGCACTGGCCTCTAGTGGCCGAGCACCGTCTCTGCCCGCCTCTGTCCATGCACAAGTGCACCGAAGGCTGTGCTGTCTCTGAGCAGATGGCAGAGAGGGCAACAGGTCCAAACCTGGGCATGTGTGTGCGTGCGCCCTGCTGTCTGAACAGCCTCCTGACCACACTGCCCCTGGGCTCCCTGGGCAGGGTAAGGGGGCCCAGTTCCACTGCACACGTGGCAAACAGCTCAGCACACAGCGTCTGGGTGGAGGGGTGCTGGGACTCAAACTCAGTCTTTTCGCCCCAGGTCTGGTCACCGACCCCTGGAGGGTGACCTGAGCTGGCAGACAAGGAAGGGCCCACTCCAGGAGCTGCGCACCCAGGGGGCACAGGGCTGCATTTGGGGGAGGCAGCTGGGCTGAAGGGGTTCCCAAGGACCAAGGATGGCCATGCGCGGCAGGAAGGGAGCCCATCGGGAGGCCGCCTTTGTGTTGGGACGGGAAAGGGAAGCTCAGGGACCACCCAGAACACTCAGCATTTCGGCAGAGTCCACAGAGGGAAATAGCCTTGTTCTGTTA